TTCAGGATTCGACTCAACAAATGAATCACATCCCATAGTGCCTAAAAAAATTATTTAAATATTAAAAAAAAGCTCGACATCAACTTCTAATCAACAACTTACCAGAAGCATTTAAGTCATCCTCTCAAATCTTTATTGGACACATTTTTCGCTTCTTCAGAATTATCTCAGAAAATCATTTCAAACCAGCAAAATAGATGAACTCTGTTAGCTACGAGAAGAAATTTGTTTTTGGAAACATTCACGGAAGATAAACGAAACAAAGGAATATGCCGAAAGCAGACCTCAGAAGAGAAGAGTATTTGACCTGCGGCTCGATAGAAACCTTTCATCAGCTCCGGATTCGCTTCGTCGCCGTAAATCGAACGTACTTCCTGAATTTATGAAATTCGATCAAGGCTGATATACAAAGATTTCCGTTCCAAAAACTCACAAAACTCATTGTTTCGACACGACACAGAAAGCTGCTTAAACTCAACAACAATTGCTGAATATGTCTCAAATTTGATCCATAGCTAACTAACTGACCGTTTCGATTCGCCTTTCATACGAGAACAGCAACTGATATGTTGTTTCGGTTAATCGTAAACGATTCATTGCTTTCATTCGACGCAAACATCGCATGAATTTCGGTTGCAATTGACGTTTGATGAACGCACTGAAACGCCGCACTGAGTATGACTATGAAAACTCACAATTGGACAATGGAACTTTCGTTGAGCAGAATCATTTGCACAACTTGAACTGCTTGAACTCAAAAGATACCACTGAATCTATCGCTAAATGAAGGATAACATTCAAGTGAAATGTTTAGAGGACCATTTCCAGAGCGATGCAATGCGATTACCATTGCTAAAAAGAGGATGTTCAAGGGCAGAAAGTGTTGACATCTATACTATTCACTGCATGATCAACCGAGAGACACTCAACTGCTCATTTCCAACTAATTCCTGATCCAATAAATATTTCTCAAGAGAAACTGAATACAAAGGATAAGTTGAACTGCACAAACGCACATGCATGAATCCCGTTTCACATCCCCTTCCACAATCATCATCTCCTCATCGTCTTGATGTTCCTCCATCTCACTGTTCGCTCGCAATTTCAACTGCTGATGATCATAGTCAGTTCTATTTCTCGTCAGCATTTCCCACTTGTTCAAACTTCTTCCTTCACTTCAAACTATTCATTCATTAATTGTACTCAATAAGAAATAAATCACGTCGTCAATCCGCATACATCCATTTTTATCATAACCTTTTGACTATAACCAATCAAAATATCACGACTCGTTCAAAACCCGAACATTTACCGACCCAACAAATGTTTTGCAATGACTTATGCCCGAGTCAACATTCAAAAAACAATTTTTATTCCATCACAAATACGACCGATCCATGTTTGTGAAAAATCTCCACACTTATTCACGAAATCAATTAACTTTTCAGCTCAAAAACCAGACCAGATCAAGACAAACGGAAAATAACAAATAAATAAACTATTGAAAATATATGAAACATCCCATAAAACATCACAAAATCTCTTCATTTCTGGCCAACTAAATAATTTTACACAAAAATTCTCCAGCGAAATACGTTCCATTTTATGCTTCTTCAAAGAAATATGTTTCGAGAACGACTACAATTCTTGTTAATCACCACATCGAACAAATGTTTTGAGGATTATTTTGATGTCAGTAGGTATATTGACAATTAAGGTTGTATATTCATACCAATTGCTATGTCAGTTCGTTACTAACTGACGTTTTATGATAACAAATTCATTCGCAATAGAAATTTATCGGTTAATTGTTAGTGGTATCACAATACAACAACATTTCCAATCAAAACATTTGTAACAATCAAAAACACATTTCAAATTATTTCTATCAAAATAATTCTCCAAATATAATTTATCATCATCGACGTTAACATGCGATTCGTACGTTTGATAGTCGGATCAGCTCTTTGCCAAACTTCTCATACAATTCGCCACCTTCCTGAAAACACTTAACGTTTAAGAGACGCGATAAGCCAGTCTAAACGCGAGATTTATGACCAGCGAATTCAAGATGAGTAAAAGAAATGATACGCTTAAGCCTGATAATGACACAATTTCATATTCATTCATCCTGATCGTACTCTACTGTGAAACGAACCTTACAATGTTCGCTCAAACGGAAATTATATCTTCACGAATCACCTTGCAACAAATCCAGAC